CTTTAAAATGTGTCGGCGATTGGTGACGACGTGTCTTTTGTGTGCGTGCCGACCGAAAACGTGCTTGTCAGAGCGTGAATTCGAATAATTGAGCCGAGTTCAAGCGAACATCACTCTGATAGAATTCGACAAATGTAACAAGTTTCGGGCACACGTGACATTTCTATGAACAAGTATTTTTGACTTAACTGTGTATGTATGTAGTTAAAAAGTTCTCAGTTAAGTTCAGGGTAGAGACGTGGTGCATACAAACGGATATTGAGGCTCAGGATACGTCGGTGTGAAACTCTGAGGCGAAAGGTCAGGAAATAAAACGCGGAGTTTTACAACTGGTTTTGCTTACGTTTGCTGGCTCAAAAAGATCGTTTAACAAGAGAAGCCATTATCACAGCCTGTGGATAGATTTAAAACATAGTTTTTTTTCACAAATGTAATATTTTAATTCAACATACTTAAAGCAGCGTCAACACTACGCCGGAAAAAAAAACTCGAAAACGCAGCTTTATTTCTACGGCTAGGCCTACTGTCCATAATAATCCGTTACGAAAACGGAGCTTTTTGAAAACGCTATTAAAAACCGGAGGAATTTGAAAACGCAGACTTCCCATTTTCGTGTGGACGGAAAGCATTTTGAAAACAGAGCTTTTCGAAACCGATGGCGTCACGATAATCACGTGATTTCCCTGACCGAATTTTCCTCAAACAGAAGACCAAATTAACCAGTGATTGTTGCGTTTTCAAATTTATCTAGCGAAGTGTGGACGGAAAACATTTGATGCATTTTCTGAGTGAAACCTCCGTTTTCAAATTTCTCCAGCGTACTGTGGACGTGCCCTTATTCATATCTTCTCTGAAATGAAAACACATTGCGTTTTTTTTCTCTTTTGCAGTGCCTAGTACGTCGTCAGGGAGGAAAAAACGTCACTCCACGACTTTAGTTCAGCTGGCAATAAAGAAGTTGATTTTATCAGAAGAATGTTTGGATGGAAAGCTAGAGTTGGGAATACCGTGGAACCCACTAGCTGTGTCTACAATAGAAATGGAGAACTGCCGGAAAAACCTCCACAGGCTTTCATCATGGAGCAAAGACAAAGAAGAACAGGCTGAACAACTTGAAGAACACAAAGCTTTATTATATTCAAAGGAAACGTTTCAAAAAAGTGGCATTCACGGTTAGGATTTTATGTTTTTGAAAAGAAGACAATGTCATACACCGGCACCTGCTCTGTTTACTCTGGGCAATGTTATTCTTCGTGGTGCAGATTAGTTCGCAATAGAATAACAACAGATGGTAAAATTGAGTCAAAGGTTATTTTTTTTGGAGGGGGTTGTTCGAAAATGCCAAACTTAATCATTATTGTCTTCATGGGAAACATTTTGGATGACTTCCTCTTGCTACTGAGGGTTAATTCTTGCGGAATTTTTTTCCTTCCCTCTACTTTAAAATTAACGGCGCCGCTAGAAACGTATTTTAAGAAAGCTTGTATTGAAGAAACATCGTCATCTTTTAAATTACACTTCGCCGGAGCTGAGAAGTGCGTTTCAGGTGTCTTCGGATTCAAACTTGAAGGGATGATTAATTAAACGAAGTCTACTGGTAAGTTAAAATTGGTTTGTGGCTCAACTGAGGCAAACACGGGAGTGCGTGATCACCGGGCAATGGGGTAAATCAATAGCGAAGCGCGCGAGTGACGCCATAACTCAGACAAACTCAGACAAACAAAACGGAATGGTGGAAGATTTGACGCTTTTTCAAGCGCGTAAGCAAGTGTTCCTAAAAAAATTTTAAAACGAAAATTTGGCGTTCATTTTCCTCCTGTTTCTCTCAGAAAACGCCTATGTTGTCT